CAACTTAAAAAAAAAAAAAAAAGAAAAAAAAATTTCAATCTAAAATTGAGACTCTCAGGAAAAAATAGATGAGAAATGGTCATATAGAAATAGAAAGTATGCATGTAAGAGAAGTGAAGAAAGCAGAAGAACATAAAAACAGAACACAGACACGATGTTCTCCCCTCCCCAATTGTGTGCAATAAATTAAGGTATTTATTTTTGAGTCTCTTGCCACTACTAGAAATGGAATTCTGAGAGACCTGCAGATTTTTGAAATGTCTTTATTACAATGACTAAGGGTAACTTTCATATAAAAATAATACTGTATTTTATGTGTTCTAAGATTCACATTTTAACATCTCTTAGAAGAATGCATTTTGCAATCAACGACGTTTGTGATCTGATGTAGTATGGCACTATCTTTTATAGTTTAGAATTAGATAGACGTCTAGAACCCCCCCCCCAAAAGAAGTTAGAAACCAGCAGGCTTCCCACTCCTTCTGAGGTCTTATAAAATAATCTTTGTGGGAAACAGGCTAAATAAAGGGTCATAGTAAAACTTTAATGGTTAGATTTTACAGAGAAACAGTCATTCACTTTGAAAATTATACCAATGTTCTCAAATAATTCCTATACCACAAAGGTATATTATCTCTGTCTAATTCACATATACTTTACATCTAAGAAAGGATGCTTATCTTTGTCCTTTTTAATTTTATAATGTTTTATCTTTCAATATTTTCCCACAAGCCTCTCCCAAATGATCGATATCCAGTAGAAAAATAAAATACAACACAACAAAACAATAACAACAAAACTTATCATACTTAAAAATAAGTCTTTGAGCTATTGTCTCTGTTAAGGCTTATATACATTCTCATAAATTTTTGTACACATTCATCAGTGATTTTTTAAAAAGTGTTAAAACAACACTTAAATACTTAAAAAAAAACTTTTCTTGAAGATTTCCACTGGGTGCTTTTTCAAGAAACTTTCCTGCTATCAGAATGCCCCTAGGTGTTGTGTGATAGAGCTCCAAGTAATTTAGGTAACTTAGAACTTAATCTGTGTGTAATTTTACAATTACATTTAGAGTTGGGTTTGTCATTCTTGGCATGACTGACATTTTGGGCTTGATAATTCTTTTTTTTTTTTTTGAGTTGGAGTCTCACTCTGTCACCCAGACTGGAGTGCAGTGGCCGATCCCGGCCACCGCAGCCTCGACCTGCTGGGCTCCGGCGATCCTTCCGCCTCAGCCTTTCAAGTGTCTGGAACTATAGGCGTGCGCTACCACATGCGGCTAATTTTTTTATTTATTGTAGAGATGCACTCTCGCCAAGTTGCCCAGGCGGGTCTCGAACCCGCGGGCTCAGGCAATCCACTCACCTCAGCCTCCCAAAGTGCAGGATTACAGGCTGAGCCACCGAGCCCGGCTGATAATTCTTTTAGATAGCGGATGTCCTGTGCATTAAAGAGTGGTTAGCAGCATTTCTGACTTTTAACCAGTGGAAGTCAATAACAAAACCACATTCCCAGATTACAACAAACAAAAGTATCTCCAGACATTGCCAAAGGTCTGTTGGAGGAAGCATTGCCTCCAGTTGGGTACTAATGTTTTAGAAGTTCCAGATAGGGATTTTCATTCCTCTAGAAACTATGCTCTGCATTTCAGAAACATGTGGGAATCATTATGTTAACCATCAGGTCCTCCCCTCCTTCACTGGCATTTTTGTATTTTTATTTTTCTTTTCATCTCATTTTATTAAGGATGTCAGAATATCCTAAAATATAGATTATCTTGTGACTATTATATGTGACACGTATGTACAATATCCTGTAAGAATTAGGTGGCTCTTAAGACCACTTAATTGACACTCATCTTGTTAGTGGACACTGTTGAAGTTTTCACATTGTGCTGCCTATTCTTATACCAGGGAAATATGAGATTCCATTTCTTTTAATTAATAAACTATACCAACTATCGTTTTGTTGTGTTACAACCTTAAATCTCATGTGTGTATCTGTGAGGTTATGAAAAGGAAGAAGTATATAGTTATGTACCTCAAACACACACACAAAATTTTGTTCTGATCTAATGATAGGGTTTTCTATACTAGAATAGCTTTGTGAAAATAGATGCAACCCTGACTTTGAAAACTGAAATGTAACCAAGATAACACTGTTCTGGAGTAATCCCAGCTTTTGATTACCTATCTGTGTGAATTCCATTAAATCAATCTCTCAGAGTCTCAGTCTCTTAAATTAAAATAAAGGAAGAGATACTTCATAAGAAAATGGGTCATTGTAAGAAATGAATAAAAAAATTCCTAAAAACACCTGGAAGTATATCTTTTCATATATTGGAAGTTCAAAAACAATACTTATATCTATTAAAATTTTTCATTTATTGTGAGGTACTATCCAGCTGTGAGCTGATTATTATTCTTTAAGAATTTGGCACTTCTGTAAGCTGTCTCATTATATAACTGAGGATAAAAGTGTAAGAGACTAGAATTGGTGTGGTTAGTGAAATAGATTTGGCAATGAGTGGGTATAAGAAGGAAAGTTAAGTTATTTGTCATCTATAAATCTAAGACAAAAAATTTCTTTTTAGCACCATATCTTTTCTATTTCTTAAAATCTTTGAACGTCTATGATATGCATACACTAGGAAAACACTATTGAAGAAAATTTTACTCCACTTCAATGGAATATTACTAAACTCTTCAACAAACAATTTTTCTCTAAATATGGCATTATTTTTACATTTGTTCACCATCAATTATTTATTGAGATAGACTCTGCATCAGAAATGTCCTAGACATTAAGTAGACAAAAGTAAAAAAAAACAGATTTTTTTCCAACTAATTGATAGTAAACTTTATTCAGAAAGTTGAAAAAAGAAAAGAACATTAAATATATCTAAAATTGTAAATATTAAGTATAGTCAAGAAAGAAGAGTAAACTAGTGGTAAAAGAATAAAAAAGAGGGTTATAATATAAACTTGATTTGAGGTAACTATGATGAAATTAAGCTGAAATTTTAAAATGAATAGAAATGAGTTTTGCAATATTGGATTCAAAATTACTTTAACAAAAGATGTCTGATATGAAAATTCACAGAAAACAGAGAATTCTGTAAATTCAATAATTTTTTAATAAACCAATGTGATTGGAATTTAATGATGATCTGATGATGTTGAAGTAGATAGGGTCCAGTCCATAAATGGTCTTAGAGTTTGTACTTCATTGATTTAAGTCTATTTTTAAAGAAGTGGGAGTTTATATTTAAAAGAGGCACTTCAACATCCAATTTGCCTTTTAAAAAGATGACTCTTGTCATACACAGAAAATCAATTCTGAGGCAGTATTTCACTAAAGAAAGGTTGGTGGCATATAAGTGATTAAATGGATAAGGATACACTATGAATATAAAATCTATACTTAGAATTAAAAGAACATGGTATATATAGATTGAATATGGGGAATGAGGAATCCACTTCCGTCAGAACTATAGACAGTGCCATTTTTTGGTTTTGGTTATAATCTGTTAGTTTTATCAGAGATGCTATCATAATATCTATATTTATTCTTAACTGAGATGGGGACCTCAGGCAATGTACTTTCTGTTTCTAGTTCTATACCTATTTCCAGTATCCAAAGTAAGTGGATATTTACTCAAACTTACTTTAAATCTTTTACCTAAGACATTTACTAATATTTTTTTCTATCACATAGATGATTATGTCTGCTTATGAAATAATTTTGCTATAACTCTCATTCTAATTTGTCTAGTTTTTACACAATAAACAATTGGGTTCATCAGTGGGGGTACAAGTAAGAGAACATTTGCCATGAGAACATTAATTAGAGGAGATACATGCTGGGCAAAGCGATGGACAATGGCCAAGTTGATGATAGGGAGGTAAAAAATGATCACTGCACAGATGTGTGAAACACAAGTGTTGAGGGCCTTAAGCTGCTCTTTTTGGGATGCAATTCCCAGAACAGTCTTGAGAATCAGGATGTAAGATACAGCAATAAGCATAAAGTCTACCATAAGGCACAGGGCCCCAAAAAAGCCATAGATGACATCAATTCGGTTGTCAGAGCAGGCCAACTTCATGACATCCTGGTGGAGACAGTAGGAATGGGATAATTGGCTTTTATTACAATAGCTCAGACTTCTCAAGGTAAAGGGGAAAGGAAGAACCAAGAGAATGCTCTTAAAAGAGAATACCATTCCTATTTGGGCAACTCTGACAGTTGTAAGAATTGAGCTATATCTCAGAGGGTTGTGGATGGCTAAGAAACGGTCAAATGACATAATCAGGAGGACTGAGGACTCCAGTGCTGAGAAACCATGAATGAAGAATTCCTGGGCAAAGCAGGCATTGGCAGAAATTTCAGGAGCATTGAACCAGAAGATCCTTATCATGGTGGGCAGAGAGGATAAAGACAATCCCAAGTCAGACATAGCCAACATGGAAAGAAAATAGTACATAGGCTCATGCAAAGAGGACTCTGTCTTGATGATAAAAAGAATGGTGCAATTTCCCACAACAGCAATAAAATACATGCTGCACATGGGAATAGAGATCCAGATGTGTGTATCTTCTCGTCCTGGCATCCCAACCAAGAAGAAGGTAATGATTTCAACATGTGATGTGTTGATAATGGACATGATGCATTCAGAAGACTCTGCAATGAAACATATACTTATTTTGGTGAAATATGAATTTCTAGACATTAGTAGAAAAAAATCAATGCTAATATTTATGGCTTCTTTCTGTTTTCTTTGAATGAAACAAACAAAGCATTTATGTGGCCATGATATAAAGATAAGTGGATGTCACATTAGATTAGAATATACCTATCTCCTAAATAGGAAAAAATTATTTCTGGCAGTGGTTTTCTTTTAGAGAAACCATATTCAAATTTTGTATTTAGATATGCATCTAATTTCATTTTTCCTGTGAAATATTAGCAAACGCTAGTCAATTAATCTGGAATCCTCTACTATTTTTTCGCTTTCAGGTCTATGTTCAGATCTTCAGTTCTGTGTGGTTGATTGCCAAAAAGAGAAATCAAATGCAAGGCACATAAATGAGAATATCTGGGTACATACCAGAGAGTGGATGTTTTGGTAAACACTTTTGAGAGAAGTTGAAGAATCCTGGTACAAAAACTCAAGGTATTGTTGAATTTATCTGCCACCAAAAGTTCCTCCTGCTATATGAGGACTCGTCTCTTTGTTGTTCCTTAACCGCTGGCTTTGGGATCACTGAGTTCTCTGGGGATTGCAGCCAGGTTTGATCTGTTCTGAGGATAATAATCAACAACTTATAAGTGGGTACTAAACACTGGGCACACAGAGCACAAGGATGGAAATAACAGACATTGGGGACTGCTAAGGGAGAGAGAGAGGCAGGGGCAATAAGGGATGCAAAACTACCCCTTGGGTACCATGCTCACCACAGGGCGGAGAAGGGGTGGAGGCTCATCAGAAGTCCAGACCTTGCCTTCACACAATATACCTGTGTAACAAATCTTCCCATATTCCCCACGACTCTAAACTTTTAAAAAAGAACAAACATTTGCAGATAAAGCAAATTCACATACATAACTGATGCCAAGGACATGAAATAAACACCTACACCTGTAATAGGAGACTGGTTGGAGAGAGGTCCTTAATAACCAGGTTTTGGAGAGATGTGGTAAAGCCTGTGCAAAAGCTAGGATCTTTCTGTTAGATAGTTGGCTTATGTATTTCTCTACAGAACATACACCCTAGGACAACGCTCTCTAACATTTTTTGGCATCAGGGACCGGTTTTGTGAAAGATAATTTTTCCTCAGATTGTGGTGGGGGGTGATAATCAGGCATTAGATTATCATAAGGAGGTCCCTCGCATGCGCGTTTTATATCATGCACAGTTCACAATAGGGTTTATGCTCCTGCGAGAATCCAGTGCCACTGCTGATCTGACTGCTGGAGGATCACCTACTGCTGTGTATTGGTTCCTAACAGAACACGGATCGGTATTAGTCCACAGGTTGGGGTTGGGAACCCATGCCCTAGAAAACAAATTTTTATCCTAGATTTTAGTTCTGAATCCTGGATCCAACCTTCAAGATTCTCTGCACATTATTAACTATCTCTTAAAGCCAAATTGTCCATTTCCTCTCTTTCCAAATCTGTTTTTTAAAAGAAACCTATATGTTAAAGAATTCACCGCCAAAAATCTGAACACTTTTGTCTCACATTTTGTATATATCAATAGCCATTATTTATTGAAAATTTAAATTGTATCACTTAGTTCCATTACTAGATAATTATTTTGATTTCTGGAATCTATGGAATAATTTTGAGTAATATTATTATCTTTATTTTATTGATGAAAATCTTTCTCAAGGGGATTAAGCATTCTGCCCAAGATCACATAAGTGTTATAGGGTAAAGGTAAGATAGGAACTCAGGTCTTTCATGTTCCTGATAATAAAACATACAGCATGCCATCAGGATGGACATTCAATATGTGAGGAGTTATGAACTGAACAGATGGCTGCAATGCTCTATTATTTTAAGCATTAAAAACTTACTACTAATAGATTTTGGAGGATAATAGGAAACATTTAGTCCTACAATTGCAAATCTTTGGAACAGTGAAAATCATGCCAGCATAGGGATCCTAAGGAAAAGACTCTTGAGGAGGGGAAAATAAATATGTATATATATTCTCCTGCATTAATTTATAGGCTTTAGATGGGTATTAATATAGAGTTGACTAAGGAGAGGAAACATAAGAAAGTTTTACTGTAATCCTCCCACAAACCCTTTTAAACTGCGTGGACATCACTTCTTTTAAAGATTGACCACTCATTTAAAAACTGCCTACTCTTTTTTTAATCCAGTCCAGTTTTGATTGTCAGCACAATTGGGTCCACACTTTTGCTATTGTAAATAGTACTGCAATAAACATGCATGTGCAGGTATCTCTTTTGTAGAGTGATTTAAGTTCCTCGAAATGTGGTACATATACATGATGAAATATTATGCAGTCTTAAAGAAGAACAAAATTATAGACTTTGCACACCTTGGATGGATTTAGAGTCTATAATACTCAGTGATTTATCACAGAAACAAATAAATTATGTTCTCATTCATAAGTGGACCCTGAACATCTACCATAATAATGAAAGAAAGGAATGGCAGTAACTGGAAACTGCCGACGGGGTGGAGCACATAACCAGGCAAAGTGGGGACCAAAGGGAGGTCCAAACTTTACCTGTACAATGACCACTTGCATACCTAATCCTGAACTGTACACCATATATTTAAAATAAAATAAATTTTCAAAAAAATTGCCTACTCATCACATCCCACTTGAACATAATGGGGAACTTGGTTATTATCAATTCTCTCCTTTCTGTTTTGCCTTCTGTCTGAGGTTTCTTCTGGTTTTTCTCATTAAAGAGAAAGCAGAACGTATTTTTTTGTGTGGGTAGTAATTGCTTTGGTGGAGTTATGTGTCTATTAACTCAATGTCCTACTAGGTAACTGAGTTTGTTTGTTCCATGACAATGTAAAGGGAAGGTAGCACATATATTTTATTAATTTTTTTTTTTTTTGAGTTGGAGTCTCACTCCGTGGCCCAGACTAGAGTGCAGTGGCTGCTCCCGGCCACTGCAGCCTCGCCTGCTGGGCTCCAGCGATCCTTCCGCCTCAGCCTTCCGAGTAGCCGGAATTACAGGCACGCACTACCACGCCCAGCGGATTTTTTGATTTATTGTAGAGATGAGGTCTCGCTGCCCAGGCGGGTCTCGAACGCGCGGGCTCAGGCAATTCACTCACCTCAGCCTCCCAAAGGCGCGGGATTACAGGCTGAGCCACCGAGCCCGGCTGTTTTATTAATCTTGATTGTCCTCTCTCTAGCACGATGAATAGCATAAGGTTGTTTAGTAAATGTTTGTTGAATAAATAAATGATTATGCTTTTAAAACTGTCATCATAAAATATGTGCTGTTTTTTACCTTTATTGTCATTCTAATTTTGCTATGCTTGCTATGGAATAAAATAACAGATTGGGAAATCTTCTATTCTCTGAAAAAGTATATATAATATTGGGTTTTTTTTCTTAAATGCAATATTATATATACTTTTTCAGAGAATAGAAGACTTCCCAATTTATTTCATGAGTAATTCTAAACCAGTCAGCTACATTATTAGAAAAATGTTATCAATGATATATAACTCTCATGAACATAGATCTAAACATCTAGTAAATAGGAATAGAGTACAATGACCTAAAATAAGGATAATATATCATGATCAAATACAGTTTATCCCAGAAATACAGTACTAGTTTTGAAGAATCATTAATGTACTTCTTCACAGAAAGAAATAAAAGCAATTAAAGTGTATGATAACCTCAATAGATAAAATTCAGTTATCTTTATCATACAATATTTACAGAAATCAGACATAGAGGAGTACTACTTTGATTTGATAAAGACACATAAAAATACTGCAGTCAACATTATTTTAATAAAAGTGATTTATAAAAGCATTGATAAAAGTGTTGTTTTCATTCTGTCAAGAAAATCAAGGATGTCCCTATCAGTACATATGCTCAAAATTATACTAGATACACAAGACAATGTAATACAGAAAGCAAATAATAAAAATATAAAAGTTTAAAAGGATAAAGTGAAAACGCTCCTATTTTAAAATATGATTGCTTATTTAAAACTTATAAACATTAATTCACTTAGTATAATGATCTCCAACTGCATCCAAGTTGCTGCAAGGGTCGTGATTTTTGTTCTTCTTTATGCTGTGTAATATTCCATCATATATATGGACCACTTTTTCTTTCTCCAGTTGATTTTGATGGGCAACAGGGTTGGTTCCATGTGTTTGCTAATACGGATAGTGCAGCAATAAACATGCATTTGCAGATGGCTTTTTAAAAATATTGTTTTGTTTTGAAGATGCGGGGTACAATTCAGGGTTAGGTATGCAAATGTTCATTACGCAGGTACCCTTGTTGATGAGGTATCCTCTTCCCTCCCCTGGCAGTTTCCCTCAACTACCAATCTCACCTTTCCTCCTCTGGCTTCTACACTGTTGGTGGGAATGCAAACTAGTGCAGGTATCTTTTTTTTTTAGAACAATTTATGTTACTCCAGTATATTTCCAGAAGGGGGATTGCTGAGTCATATGGAAGATCAATTTTTAGTTTTGTTAGGAATCTCTCCACTGCTTTCCATAGAGGTTGAACTTGCTTTCATTCCCACCAGAGTGTAGAAATGTTCCCTTTTCTCTGTAGCTGCACCAGTACCTGTTGACTTTTTACTTATTAATGACAGCCATCCTTACTAGAGCTAGATGGTATCTCACTGTAGTTCTGTAGTTTTAATTTGCATCCTCATTTTACCTCATAACTCTATAATAATTTCAAAAATTAAAATAAAACTTACAAACATTAAAATTAAGTGAATTTAGAAAAGCTACCTAGATATAAGAACAACCTACAAAACTGAAATCCAGCATACTGGAAAACAATCATATATTAAAATTTTTTGCTTAATTAATTTATTATAGAGTTGTGGGGTACAAGTAAGGATTTACTTGTATATAAGTAGGTTGCATGAAGGTGAAATTTTGGCTTCTAGGTGGTCCTCACTCCCCTGGTAGTGGAC